CATTTCTGTTTTATACCCTCCACCATAGTATGGAGGGTATATTAATTTTGTTTTTCCGTTGGTAACTCATCGAAATAATCATTTCCGATCCTATAAAGTATATATATTCTTGATCAGCGTAAAATTCTATGACGATATAGCCATGTCCGTCTGTCTGTTGTAATCACTCTAGCGTCTAAACGAATTGAGATAGAGTCGTCTTTTGTCTGCAGGCAGGTCAAGTTCGATGATGGGCTTTATCGGTCCACGTTTAGGCATAGCTCCCATATAAGGGTACCCCCCAATTTTCGAGTTCTTGAGCGCGTTTTTCAACCGAATTCGCTGAAATTTGTTACATTGGGTTCTTATTGGGTAGCAAATCTCTCCACCAAAAAGTATAAATAGGGGTTCATATTTTCGGATAGCCCCCATATAAGGGTACCCGCAATTTTGCGGTATTTTGTAGGGATTTGATCGCATTTTTTCCACCGAATTCGCTGAAATTCGGTACTTTGAGTTCTTATTGGGTAGCAAATCTCTATACTAAAAATTATAAATATAGGTCAATTTTTTCGGGTAGCCCCCATATAAGGGTACCCACAATTTTCGGTATTTTGAGGTTCTTGAGCTCGTTTTTCAACCGATTTCGCTGAAATTTGGTACATTGTGTTCTTATTGGGCACCAAATTTTCCCACTAAAAATTAAAAATATAGGTCAACTTTTTCTGGTAGCCCCCATATAAGGGTACCTTCCAATTTCCAGTTTTTGGGGAGTTTTGACCGAATTTTTTCACCGAATTGGCTGTAATTTGGTAAATTGGGTTTTTATTGGGCAGAAAATCTCTCCAGAAAAAATTATAAATATAGGTCAATTTTTTCGGGTAGCCCCCATATAAGGGTACCCCCAATTTTTCGATATTTTGAGGTTCTTGAGGGCGTTTTTCAACCGAATTCGCTGAAATTTGGTATTTTGTAGTCGTATATGGTTACAAATCTCCCCACCAATAATTATTAATATTCACCGCTTTTTAGGGGTAGTCCCCATATAACCCCATTTTTTATATTAAAATAGTTTTCTGATTTGTTTCGTGTGTTGGGGTTGGGTAGTCGTTACGGGGAATAGTCAATTTTTACCCTACAAAGACTATTTAGCCATCTGTTGTAAGCATTCCGCCTTCTAAAGATATTGTGATAAAAAAAAAACTCAAACATGACGATAATGAAATATATCGGCAGACATTTAGGCATCTCCACAATATAGTGATACCTCCTTAAGGAAAGAATTGAGATAAACAATTAAAATATTGGGTTCAAAATTGGCATATACCGGTCATTAATTAGGCATAGCCCTCATTATAATTATATCCCCAAATATTCACTATTTCCTACACTATGTAATCATTATTGGTCCCCCTTTAGTCATAGCCTCATATAACTTTGTAATCTAAATTACAGTAGCTTAAGGATTTTTTAAGGATTTTTTTACTCTACCATGCGTTATCAGTATCAGTCCACTTTTTGGATTTTTCAGATTTTAGGAAAAATCCCCATTAAAAATTGCTGAAGTTTGTATTTGCTGTACATATTGGTTTACATAAATCGATTTGTAGAATTATTGGTATATGCCCACTTTTTGGTATGTTCCCTATATTTTCATTGCATGTATCAGTCAGTATAACTATGGTGGAGGGTATCCAAAGTTCGGCCCGGCAGAACTTAACGCTTTTTCGCTTGTTATTTTTGTGTCTAAATATTTACAGTTTTTTTTAAAATTTTTTTCTCCATACACAACGGTCAAATGAAATTGAAACTTGTTATAATTTCAGTTCATTCATTACATTTGACTAACCTGTATTATGCCATTAAAATGGCATTGTTTTGCCAATTTTCTAAAAGAAGAAGAAGAAAACATGCTACCATCATAATTTATACCACTTATTGTCTAAACGTCATAAATGTTAAATACATTAGTATTTCTATTATTTTTTTCTACTTCTTCTCAACTTCTTTTGCATAAAATGTTTATATGCAAAGTGTGCGGTGGGGCTAATACTTTCGGTTGTACACTTTATGCCACAGATTGAGTGGCAATAACAACAAACAACAACACTTCTTGTCTTATATCTAGATTGACTTTGAAAGTGGTTTGTTTTCTTATAGCGAAAGTGGTTTTAAGTTTTTTTTTCTGTTCGTTTTTGTCTTATGCCAAAAGAAAGATAACAAATATCATGATAATATACAAATAAAGACATAAAAAATCTGAACAAAAGTCATATAAGAAATTTTAAAATTTTTTTTAATGATTTCCTGTAACAACATAATTTTTTTTCTGTTAATTCTATGATAAATTTTTTTGTTTTTGTAATGACAATTTTTATGTTTTTTTATTTTGGGCATTAGAAAGTCATTATCTTGTTATGAGCTGATGAAAAAGTAAAAATGTCTTAGCGAAATCGAATGATAAAAATTAAAAAATACTGTTGGTTTTGTAATTCCTAAAATTTTGGGGCATTGACCCAAAAAGCAAAAAAAAAATAATAATAATAAATAAAATATTTTTTTGTGCCATTGGAAAATTAATTCTTCGCCTTAACCCTACGGTCAATAACCGGGTACATTTGTACCTTTTTTCTAATAAAAATGCTGTGAAACTTTTAATAATGGAGATATTTGGATAAAATTTTTACGAATCATTCTTGAGGTATTTTCTCACACAATGGAAGAAAAATTTATAAATATTTTCCATATGTATAATTTTAAAATATTTTATAAAGTTATTACCTAGGTAGATCAATAACCGTGGTACACGTGTACCCATCCAATGATAGCTCTGTAACTCATTAAAAAATTGGACTATCTTGAGGTTTTTTATTTTAAATTAGTCTATACGGATCTGATGTAGATGTAGGAACTCAAAATTATATATACATTAAAAAAATATATATTTAAGTCCATGCTTAAATGATAATCTATCTAAAACAAGCTTAGTAAATTCGTTTTATAGCTTTCGAATGGGTTAAGTTGTTTTAGTTATTTTTTTATTGGGATCTTATTTAGGTGTTCCGATCTAGACCTGTGTGTCCGTCCGTCCGTCTGTCCATTATAATTTGTAAACACGATACAGGCCACAGTTATGGACCAATCTTCACGAAATTTTGCATGTAGGATGGGTTCTGGCTAATGAAGACCCCTATTGTTTTTAGGGGATGAAATGGACCAAATACTAAATTTTTGTCGGTTTTTCTGGTCGCTCCAGAGGCCGCAATAATGGCCCGAACATCGTGAAATTTTGCATGGAAAATGGGATCGGGCCACAGAATGCCTGTTTTGATAAAGATCGGTCAATATTTAGCGGGTCAAATAGATCCTGACTTTTGTGTGAAAAATGACAAAATTTGTATTCTATAGCGGTTATATTTACCGCTGAAAGAAATGGACCCGAGTTGATATTATATCCAAGAGGAGTGGTTACCTTTAAATTGATACCAATTATATTGTCGTATGTACTCGGATGTGGGAGTTACACCTAAATATTTACAGGTATCTCCGTATTCGAATATTATTTAGTAACCCATTATCACTCTAGAGAGCGGAACTAAGGCGCTGATCGCTTTGAAATGTTCCATGAGGTTCCAGGTATGGCCAAGGCAACGCCTATAATTTTCGGTGATGACCAGATAATAATTTGAGTTCCGTGGTAGTTGTGTAGGGTATCGTATGGTCGGCCCCGTCCGACTATACTGCTCCGTCACACATATTGCCTTTTACACTTTTAGTTTAGTTTGACTCTTTTTTTATTTAATTATAACTAATTATGACATTAACAATTTTCCTGGCTAGTCATAAATTTCCACAAGCTGCCAAGATGGAGTGTTAGCCAGCTAACTAGAAATGCTAATACCAATTTAATTGGCCATTATTAGTTGGTGTAATTTGTTAAAGTTAATAATAAATAAGCCGCATTTGCCAACAATTGCAGCCGCATACAAATATGGATGAGAGTTATGTGAGCGGATCTAAAAAGAACAGAACTGAAGTTGCTGGGTGACTGATGATGAGGATTGTCATCTCTTGTGATGCTCATATTAATGAGATGGAAGAAAAAATCTTCTACCTGGCTCCACTCCACTCTAATACGATTTTCGCTTTATTTCTGTTGAAAAAATCTTTTAATAAGGTGTATTAAATTATTAGCAAAGTTTTAATGGAAATGATAATGATGATGAAGATGATCAGTTCGTTCGTGTTGTGAACAAATTTGTTAACTCACATTTTTTTATAGCAAATGTGGGCAACATCTCAGCTAATCGTTTAAAGACAAAATGAATGCTAACATATTTAAAATAACACCAGACAATTGAAAATCAATATCCATTGTTAAGATTCATCTACATTTTAGTGATATTGAATATGGTGATCTATTTTTTTCTGTATTAAAAAGTTCTAAGACAAATTGTTTAAAATTCAACATAAATTGTACATTGATATTCAGTTTGAAGTTGAATAATAAAGTAGTCTGGCATGCAACTTGTTTCGCTGAATATGGTTTTAAAAGCTTTATTAACTAATGGAGTATTATCAGAGAATAAATTAATCCATTTGGTCATAGGAAGAAGAGGAAAACAGTAGCTATGCTAGAGGAATAATTAATTTAGTGGAAACTTAAAAATTTGTTTTTAGTTGGGACAGACTTCTAAAGCGTGCTATAATGTTATTTGTTAATTATAAAAAATATATATTTTTTATAAATAATTTTTAATAATGCTATTAATAAATATTAATTAATATTTTATTGAAAATTCAAAAGAATTATATAGTTCCAAACTATATCTAGTTTTGACCAATTCGATCTATAGCCCTTTTGTATTATTTTATTAAAACGGATTTATATCTTTTATTTATATAATAATACACAGATATTAAATAATTGTTATTTTCACAATTCAACTGTTTTTTTTTTATTACTCATTTTTTTATTACATATTATTAATTATTTTTATTTTTTTGTTCTATATTTTTAGGTCAAAATCTGGTTTCAAAATCGCCGTTCAAAGTACAAAAAGATGATGAAGGCTGCTCAGGTTCCCGGTCAAGGTAGTGGCATGCCTTTGGGCAGTGGTGGTCCAAATCCCGGTCAACATAGTCCAAATCAAAATATGCATAGTGGTAAGTAACAAAAATTTTAATTAAATATAAAAATAAAATTAAATATAAACATAAATAAATATAAAAATAATAAATTATAAAAAATATTATAAATACTAAAAATATGCAAATAATAAATAAAACTAAAAAATATAAAACTATAAATATATAATAAGAAATATATAAATAAAAAAATAAATAAAGAAAACAATATTTTAAGTAAGATTATAGTTTAATTGAGGAATATTTTTGTATACCATATCATAAGGTGAAGGGTACAATAAATTTTGTCATTCCATTTGCAAGATTTTGAAATATTTATCTTCATATAACGATACCTCCTAAGTTTCGGTATTTTGAACAGTTCGGACACTTTTTCTCAGTCATTCAGTTCAGTCATTCATTTTCAGAATATCCTCTTATATGTGTTATTCCAGCCTTATACAAAAAAATCCACGCTTTGTAGGCCTCTTCAAAAATATTATTCTAAAAATCCACGCTTTATAGGCTCGTTCAAAATTAATACTCTAAAAATCCACGCTTTATATATCTCTTCAAAAATATTATTCTATAAAAAATATTTTAAAAATCCACGCTTTATAGACCTCTTCAAAAATATTATTTAAAAAAATATATTTTAAAAATTCACGCCTCATCGGCCTCTAGAAAAAAAAATTAATTTAAAAATGCACGATTTATTGGCCCATAAAAAATATTGTTTTAGCAATCCACGCCTTATTGGCATCTAGAAAAAATATTTTAAATATCCACGCCTTATTAGCTTCTAGAAAAAAATTATTTTAAAAATCCACCCCTTTTCCGTCTCTGGAAAAATATTATTTTAAATATCCACACCTTACTAACCTCTAAAAAAAAATATATTAAAAATCCAATCCTCTAGAAAATTAGTATTATAAAAATCGACATCTTATCGGGCTATAGAAAAAATTATTTTAAAAACCGACATCTTCTCGACCTCTAGAAAAAATATGTTAAAAATTCACGCCTTATAAAAATTCAATACCATTGGCCTCTAGAAAAAATTTATTTTAAAAATCCACGCCTTATTGGTATCAAGAAAAAAATTAATTTAAAAATCCACGATTTATTGGCCCATAAAAAATATTGATTTAGAAATCCACGCCTTATTGGCATCTAGAAAAAAATATTTTAAATATCCACGCCTTATTAGCTTCTGGAAAAAAATTATTTTAAAAATCCACCCCTTTTCCGTCTCTAGAAAAATATTATTTTAAATATCCACGCCTTATTAATCTCTTAAAAAAATTATAATAAAAATCCAATCCTCTAGAAAATTATTATTTTAAAAATCGACATCTTATCGGGCTATAGAAAAAATTATTTTAAAAATCGACATCTTCTCGACCTCTAGAAAAATATGCTAAAAATTCACGCCTTATTGGCATCTAGAGAAAAAAATTTTAGAAATCCACGTCTTATTGGCTTCTAAAAGAATGTTATTCGGTAGAGTCCAATTTTAAATATTTAACCGCCTTATCGCACCGAAATGGCTCATATTTTCAGTGATTTCTAAAGACTATAATTTAATTAGTTAATTAAATTCATTGTTTACTAATTTCCTTTTCCTATTTTTTATGATTTTTTCAGGCGGTAATAACGGTGGCGGTTCAAATAGTGGCTCACCCTCACATTATCTACCTCCAGGACACAGTCCGACGCCTTCAAGTACGCCTGTATCTGAATTATCACCCGGTAAGTTTTAATAAAAAAAATAAATATATTTAAATTTTTATTTCAAATGAAAAAGAAGAATAACGAAATAATACGAGAGCTGGTATATATGTTTCGGGGCTAATAAAGAAAATTCGAATATCTATCATAAAAATGACTTTTATTGTCATACAAAGTATAAATATAAATATAACAGCCCTCGTATTTATTGCTACTATTTTTTTCTATTATTTATTTCTATTTTAAAATCCTTATTTTTTTTAAATGTGTTTTATTACAATTTTTTAATAATTTTAAAATGTTATTTGTTTATTCTCGCAGAATTTCCACCAACGGGATTAAGTCCGCCAACGCAAGCGCCCTGGGATCAAAAACCCCATTGGATCGATCATAAACCACCGCAAATGACACCGCAACCACCTCATCCAGCTGTATCACATCCGCAGACGCATCATCATCAACCACCGCCACAAATGGGCGGCTATGTACCCCATCAGTACTGGTATCAGCCGGAAACAAATCCATCGCTATTAACGTAGGTAAAATTAAATATAAGAACAAAAAATACAAAAAAAAATGAAAATATTAAAAAAAAATAAAAATATATATGTAAATGAAAATTAAAAAAATATATTAATATTTTTATTAATTTTTTGATTTAAAATTGTATAAAAAAATCAACCTAAGCTGTAAAAATTCTAAAGTTCAGCTTAGGATTAAAAGGGTTATCAAAAATTATTTCTAATAATTTCCTACAAAGGGAATTTTTCTATGTAAAAATAAATTTTCGGATATATTGAGAATTTTTTTCTAGAGTCTAAAATTCTGCCTCAGATTTGAGGACCTCATTTAGAAAACCTCAGCTTCATCTGACCTTATTTTAGATAAAAAAAAGCTCAAGCCGAAAAAAAAATTCATGAGGAATTTTTCCATAGAAAATTTTTCTAAGATCACCTTATGATTTTTGTATAAAAATTTAGAATGTTTTTTATAAAAAAATCGGCACTAACAGCGGAAAATCAAAATTTTCCTGCAATAAAAAAAAAATAAATAAATTCACACAATGAGGGATTTTTATTAGAATTCTCAATAAAAAAATAATAAAAAAAAAATTGAAATATGAATTACGGAGCTCTTTTTATTCTTTTGTTGATTTGATGGGTTATATAAAATAAAATTAATTAAAAATTTCTATTTTCAATATAATTGTACACCTTCCAATATTGATTAAATATTTCTACTTTGAAAAATTTGTAGGCCATCCAATTCGGATTAGGATTTTTTTTATAGACATCAATATTGAATATTTCTTATAAAAAATAAAATCATATAAATATTTTAGTATATATTTTTTTTTAATTTTTACTAATTATTTATATTTTTCTCTCTCTTGTTTTTCTCATTACAGGGTATGGCCAGCGGTCTAACAGACACCTCCAACCTCTACTATAGCAGCAGCAACCACAACAACCTTTTACCAAACCGATCCTATAGATAATTTAATGCATATATATTAAATGAAAAGAAACAAAAACAAAAAAAAAATATTTTTTTCATAGATTAAAAAATTATATGAGAAAAGAGAAATTTTAATTAAAAATTTTTAAAAAAGAAGAACAACCCGAACAATAATAATAAATAAATTGTATTTAGAAAATAAAAACAAAATACTTAGTAAAAACAAAAAAAAAGTAATTAATTAAAGTAATTATTAATTATTTTAAGGACATTAAAAATATATATTAAATAAAAACAAAAAATAATAATAATTCTTTGTGTATAAAGTTAACAAATAAACAGTTGTTTAGTTTTATTTTAATAAAATACAATAAAAACAAAACCCAATTTTTCTAGATATTTTTTAATGAATAAACTAAGTTTTAAATATATAGGAAAAAACACAAAAAAAAAAACATTTATGTAAGACATAAACCTAAAAAAAAGACAACTTAAAAAACATTTCTAAAGCAAAACATTCCTCATTTGATTTTATGTGCATTTTTTTGTGTAAATATTATTATTATTAATATTAATTTTTATAAATACATACCTACATATATAATTAAATAATTTTGTTTGTAATTTATGTAATAGTAAACAAAACAGAAACAAAAAAAAAAATAAATTTGAAAAAAAACAACAAACAAATCAGCTGATGATCTTAAAAATTATCTAAATAAAATTTTGAAAAAAAAGAAAACCAACAACAAGGAAACTTATTTAAATAGAAAGAAAAACACAGCAACCATATACATTAGCAACACAAAAAATCAACTCACTCACACACACACACACTTCACTTTACCGTCAGTCACATTTGCCCAAAATCATCTCCGTCACTCATAGCTAATAGAGTAATTTCAAAAAAATACGTGTAATAATAATTTAATATCATAAAACATATTTTTTTTAATTTACAATCAGTTTTACATCAAGATCTCAAATATTTCAACATTTCACCAATAAAACGAACAACAACAGCAGCAGCAGTAATATCAAAAAAAGTTAAAATTTAAAGTATTTTTTCTTCGCTTTTTTTTAATTTAATTTTTCAAATTTATTTCGAATATTTTTTATGTAATTAGATTTTTGTTTTTTTTTTTTGTAAAAATAAATTATACAATTTTAATTAATAAAAAAATAAATATACACACACGCACAAAAAGTTTCAATAAAAATACATAATTAAGTGCAATATAATTTTAATTTGCCGCTTATAAACATTAACCATCACCAATACTATGATTTTTTGGAATAGGTCAATCATCTGCAAAAAAGAAAACTCTTAAGGAAAGTTCAGAAGTCGAACGGGGCCGACTATATGATACATGATTTCATACATATGTTATTATACAAATTTTCTGCAAATTCATGGTAAAGGGGCTGAATTGGGGTGTTTGGTGTGGCATTTGTATAAAATCGAACCAAATTATTTATCTATGAAAATATTTCAGAAATTTTTAACAATTAATTTAAACAAAATGTAATATTGTTTTTTGAGTTATGTTTTTATGCCTTTTTAGGGCGAAGGATCATTCATGTAAATGTTTTTTATAAATTTCTCTTTCGAGGTGAGCTACATAATCGGAGATGCAATGAAAAGAAAAGCCAGAGAGATACTACATTCCCACCACTATGCGACGCGTTTCGCCGTTGGTTAAGCGGCTCATCAGGCATATTGGGCAATGTGGCTTACAAATGTCATTACTTTATAAGTTGTATTTATGTCGACTATCGTTGCGAAATTGCATCTACGAATTAAATTCAACCGTGTCAATATTTTTCTTCAATGGTATACAACTGCATATTGTGTAGCCTTAGGAAGGTATGGAGGTGGCTTTGAACGCTAAGGCGCCGGACATCAACAGATGCCATGGAAACCAGGGTTCAAATCCCAGCCGGGCTCAAGCTGATTTTTTTGAGTTTTGTTTTTATGTCTTTTCATGTAAATGTTTTTATACCCTACACAACTATGTTGTCAGGGAATTACAGCTTTGTGCAGCCCCAAAAGTTTCTAACGCCGCGAAATATTGGTCCTTTAAGTATACCTATCGTCATATCTCGACTAGCTGAGTCGATCTAGACAGGTGTGTCCGTCCGTCCGTCTGTTCATTATAATTTGTACGATACAGGCAACAGTTATGGACCAATCTTCACGAAATTTTGCATGTAGGATGGGTTCTGGCCAATGAAGACCTTTATTGTTTTTGGAAAAGATCGGTTAATATTTAGGGGATGAAATGGACCAAAAACTTAGTTACACTTATATATATTTACAGGTGCTTACGTATTCATATATTAATTAGTAACCTATTACCACACTGGAGGTGGAAATATAGCGATGATCGCTTTGAAATGTTCCATGAGGTTCCAGTTATGGTCAAGGACAACGCCTAAAATGTTAGGTGATGATCAGATAATAACTTTTCGGATGAAGTGGACCGAAAATTTAATTATTTGTACTTTTCGAGTCGAAAGCCGAACATCACAACACAACCCACGGCGAAGGAAATCTGGACAAGTAATTAGAGGGGCTGTACTGATTATTAGTAACATTTGCTGACCTCTAGCCAGTCAAAAGTGTGCAAAGATCGCGAAATATTGCCCAATCTCAGAATATAGAACCACAAAAAGTTAGATTTTCGTGGAAGTTGTGTAGGGTATCATAGCGTCGGCCTCGTCCGACTATACTGCTCCGCTCACTGGTTTATTAATATCTCTTTCGAGATGAGATACATGATCCGAGTTGCAATGAAATATTGTTTGGTTCGGAAATTAATTTAGTTTTTCCCGTCAGAGGACTTAATTACGTTTTTTTTTTGAAACCAACTGCACACTTAAGCCGCATAACCATTATATGTCTTGAAAGCTGATATTGCAAGGCTTGTGTCTGAAAAAGTTCTACTAATTCTATGCGGTAGTTTTTCGTTGGTGCCCTTTTCAATATAGAGAGCAATAAACAGAATTTTTGTCAGATTTTACATTCTAACTTCAGAACAGGTAACAATGCTGTCCAAGCGAGAATAAAAATTGACGGATGCGTATGGAGAAGGCGTGTTAACAGTACGCCAGTACCAGAACTGGTTTGCGAAATTTCGATTCGGCAATTTTGATGTCGAAAATGCAGCCGGTCGAAGCTGACAAAGATACGATAAAGGCATTAGTTGGTGCAAATCGCGAATAACCACACGAGAGATTTCCAAAAACCCAAATACATTTCAATAGCTATGCTGTGGAAAATGTTAGGGCAATGCGACAAATTTTGGGTATTTAGTACCCCACGTATATTAAATAGGCCACAAAAATTTATGTAGGAGCAAAATCGTAATCTGAATCGATTTCAACATAACAAAATAAAGGTTCAATGAGTTACGCCATGCAAAATTATGTTCCAAATGGGAAAACTTTGGGAGATCAGTGCACCATTTACCTAAAATCGGACGAAAATATATATGACAGCTATATTAACCCGTTCAGTGTAAAAAATTGCCGGAATAAAAATCTAAAATTTTGTATTTAAAATCATATAAAGGCATAGAGTTTAGAAAAACTAGCAATTTTCATTTTAACCCTCTGACAGTTTCATCTATCTTTCAGCAAAAACAAAAACATAAATAGTAACGGTACATAGGATAACCGATACAAATGTCGAATATATTCGACAAAAAAACCGAAAGGGTTAAAATCTGAACAGATTTCGACAAAGCTTTATACCTAGGTATTTATATAACCTCAATCTTATGTGGTAAATGAGGGTACATAGACACAAAATTTAATAAATAATTTCATAATTTCATTAACAGTGTATTTTTCTCATTTTTTTTCATGTACCTCGTTTAGTATAGAAGTAAAATTCTTATAATCATGAGAAACTCACTATTTTTTCCCAAAAAATGTAAATGTTTCGTAAATATAAAAACAATATTCCTTCTTTGCTCTACTTTACAACACTAATGCACAAAATAGTACGATAGCGGTGATTGCTAAACACGTATTCTCTTTTTGCCTCTTTTCGTCAGTCATTTTTTGATGATTATCTCTCAGTTACGCTCTCAAATACTTACTCTCAATTTAGTTCTGTTCAACTCTGCTTTACAACTACAACAACTCTCTCTCTCTCTTATTTGACAAAAACAAACATATTCTTCCGAAGAATAAAACCAACATCAACATTCGTTGTTCGGATGTCTTTTGTTTTGGTATTGTCCTAACCTAACCCCCCCTCAATTCGTGGTTCTTAGTTTTGCAACCGTTTATTTGACTATTGTTTGTCTTGCTAACAAATGGACTAACATTTGATCCATTTGATTCTCAAAATATGAACGGATCATTAACAAAAACTTTAGCCTTTGCTTCGAACCAAACATACTTTTGTAAGGTTGAAACTTAAAAAAAAAATTGGATTAAGCGCTACTTCGAGGAGTTTCTACTGGCATGCTACACTCAGTACGCTCTCGTCTTCTTTCTGCTACAATTTACATTGGCTAGAGGATGATTCTTTGATAACCATAACATTCAGAATACAAAGCAACTTCTTCAGTCTTCTAGAGAGAATCATCCCAAATATAGGCCGGAATATAGATCAGTCAGGTCCAATTTTTTTTGTATAGTCCCCATATAACGGTACCCCCCAAATTGTCGGTATTTTGAAGGGTTTGAGCGCGAATCCGCGGTAATTTGGTATTCGTATTTGGTAACAAATCTCCCTACCAAAAATTATTATTATTCTCCCAAAAATTATAATTATTCTCACCACACTGTGGTGCAGGGTAATATGTCTTTGTGCATATGTTTGTAACGGGCAAAAGGAAACGAGGTAGACACATAGTTCCTTTGGAGAATATGCATAGAATCACTTTCTGAGTCGATTTGTCCATATGAAATTGTAAACAAAGTACAGGTGGCATTTATGATCCGAATTCGATGATATTCGACACAGGTCATTAATTTGTTCCAAGGAGGAACCCTATTGAAATTGAGAAATATCGGTGCAGAATTATATATGGTGCACCAAAGTCCCTATATATCATTCGAATTGAACAAAAT